GCCGCTCCGACCCGTGAGTGCCTACCCTACAGGTGGGCTGCAGCGGGGCTGGGGGCCTTGCCTTGGCCTTGGCCTCAGTTTCCTCCACTTCAAAATGGGTACGATGATGTTATTGGGAGGCCTGATAAATTGGATGCCTGTTAATTGATTAGCACCAGGCCTCCACGCCGGGTGTGTTCTGGATGGTGGTGGGGGATGTCCCCAAAATTGGACGAAGGCTCTGGAAGGGCCCCCCTCCTTACCTCCAGCCTTCATCTCTCTCGCCCAGCTACGTGAAAACCTACCTCCTCCCGGATAAGCAGAATAAGCGCAAGACATCGGTGAAGAAACGGAATCTGAACCCGATCTTCAACGAGACTCTGCGGGTAAGGCGACAAGGGTGTCCCCCCCCCCGCAAAAGAACTGTGTGCTCTTTGCAGGGGAGTGAATGGCAGGGTCTGCCTGGTTAATGTTGCTGGTGGCTCTGGGCCTTGTTCTCTGAGGGAATGACAGGGCCGCCTCTGGTTAGTGCAATCCAAAGCCTGGCAATCTGCCTGGTTGGTGATAGTGAGACCCCAGTTAACCCAGAGTCATCCTGGAAAGGAACATAGCGAAACCAGCGCTAGTCAACAGGCACACCACAGCCATGCCAGGGTCTCCAGTGTCTCCGCTGAAACTCACCTCCTGTCCCCAGCACTCTGTACAGCAGGCTGATCTCCCAGGCCGGGTGCTGAACCTGTCCGTGTGGCACCGGGAAAGTCTGGGTCGGAACATCTTTCTGGGAGAGGTCGAAGTACCCCTAGACACATGGAACTGGGACTCTGAGGCTACCTGGCTCCCCCTGCAGCCCCGGGTAAGGACTGGTATGCAGTCACAGACATCCCCCTTTACTCCACAGGCCACCAAGCACCTGCAGACTGTTCCACAGAGCCTCACTCAGCCTCATATTGGCTGTTACCATTAGGCAAGGCTTGCCAGCCAGGGTGTCCCTTCCTGGCGAGCATTGCCCATCCAGCTCCTCAGTGGAGGCCCTGTCCCCAACATCTTTCTCCTCCCAGCCACCATATCCCAACTGCCTCTGCAGACGCTACCCTGAGGCCTGTTTCACCGACAGGCCCACTCTCGGCCTTTTCAGGTCCCCCCGTCTCCAGATGAACTCCCCAGCCGAGGATTCCTCTCTCTGTCCCTCAAGTATGTCCCTGCTGGCTCAGAGGGTAAGCGACTGCCCTGTGAGAGCCAACCTGGACAGGCCCCTGGGAGGTGGGAGACCTGTTCCATGAGGTGGAGGCCTGAACTGGGGTGTCCCCACAGGAGGAGGACAGCCTCTGAGTGGGGAGCTTCACTTCTGGGTAAAGGAAGCTCAGAGCCTTGTGCCACTGCGGCCAGGATCGCTGGACACTTACATACAATGGTGAGAGGCAGTGTGAGATTCTTCCTTCTGCTCCCAACCTCTGACCAACATGTCCCTCCAACCATGATGGGTCAACCTGAGCAGGGGTGGAAGTGAGCAGCTGGGCAAAAGCGCTGGAGTTAGGAGCTGGGGCTGTGCGTCAGTTGGTGGGGAGCTTGCTTAGCATGCATGGGGTCCTGGGGTAGAACCCCACTAACTGCATGAGCTAGGAGTACACGCAGGGATCAGTTCAAGGTCATCCATGGCTGCACATGATATATAAACCCTGTCTTAAAATAAAAGTTTAGGCTCTGCATGGCGGCCACCAGCACTTGGGAGCCAGAGGCAGGGGCATCTCTATGAGTTCCATGCCAGCCTGGTTTGCAGAGCCAGTTCCAGGTCAGCCAAGACCACAGAATAAGACCCTGTCTTACAAAAAAAGAAAGAAAAAAAGAAAAGGTCAGGGGAATTGAGGAGCTGGGTCTTAGTTAGGGGTCTATTGCTGTGATGAAACACCATGAGCAAAAAGCAAGTTGGGGAGGAAAGGGTTTGTTTGGCTTCACTTCCATGTTGTAGTCCATCACTGAAGAAATCCAGGACATGGAAATCAAGCAGGGCAGGAACCTGGAGGCAGGAGCTAATACAGAGGCCATGGAGGGGAGCTGTTTACTGGCTTACTCCTCATGGCTTGCTCACCCTACTCTCTCATAGAACCCAGGACCACCTGCCAGGGTGGCTCCGCCCAAATAGAATGGGCCCTCTCCCATCAATCAGTAACTAAGAAACTGCTCTGCAGGCTTGCTCATAGCTTGATCTTAAGGAAGCATTTTTTTTCTTTTTTCTGTTTTGTTTTGTTTTTGAGACAGGGTTTTTCTGTATAACAGCTCTGGCTGTCCTGGAACTCAGTTTGTAGAACAGGCTGGCTTCAAACTCCTAGAGATCTACTTGCCTCTGGCTCCCAATTGCTGGGATTAAAGACGTGTGCTACCACCACCTGGCATGGAGGCATTTTTCCGAATTGGGATTCCCTCTCAGATGACTCTAGCCCAGCGGTTCTCAACCTGTGGGTCACAACCCCTTTGAGGGTCAAAATATCAGATATTTATATTTTGATTCACAACAGTAGCAAAATTACAGCTATGAAGTAGCAATGAAGTAACTTTATGGTTGGGAGTCACCACAACACGAGGAACTGTATTAAAGGGTCACAGCATTAGGAAGGTTGAGAACCATGTTCTAGCCTGTGTCAGGCTGACATAAAATCAGCCAGTACAGCCCTCATTCTGTGGAGGCTGTACACCCACAGCTCTTGCTATGATGGAAAGGCCACAAGGGCCCCTTCTTGGAAATCTTGGAGGGATGAGCTATGTAGCTTGGCCCTGAGCTTGTGATTCAATGGCTGGTGATTGTAGTTGTCTTTCAACATGCTGGGGACTGAATGGCTTCCGATGGACACTAACCAAGTATTCTACCACTGAGCTACACCCTCAGCCCTGTGGTCTTCAAAGCTCGCTTTGAAGAAACTCTAAGCATTTCTGGGTGTTACCTCACCCTGGAGAAGGACAGAGGCGGCCACTCTGATTTTGGGTTCCTGTACAGGCTTTCTGTTACTATACATCAGAGTAACATTGTTAAATGGTTCCGACTTTGGAAACCAAGGGGGTGTGGAGCGGGCAGGGGATAATGAAGGCCATCGGGCCAGGAAATAGAATTGCATTTCAGACGCTTCTCTCTGGGATCCCATGAACAGTTACCAGTTTCAAGAGAGATGACTAAGAAAAAATAGGTGTAAATGTCCCAAAACAGAGAGGGCTGGTGACCTGGTCTCAGGCAGGGACTAGGGGAAGATGGACATATGAAAAGACAGGACATGGTGACTGGCTGGCTTAGCGAGGGAGTCTTCAAGGAGAGGGTCACTTAATAGCAGCCCTCATTTTTTAACCTGTCACAGCTCAGTGCTACCTGATGACAGTCGAGCCAGTCGCCAGCGTACAAGAGTGATTCGAAGAAGCCTCAGCCCCGTGTTCAACCACACCATGGTTTATGATGGCTTTGGGCCTGCCGACCTACGCCAAGCCTGTGCTGAGCTCTCCCTGTGGGACCACGGGACCCTGGCTAGTCGCCAGCTGGGGGGCACACGCCTCAGCCTTGGTACAGGTGAGCAGAGCAGGGCCCTGAGGGGAGCCAAGCGGGGAGGCATGGGCGCCATGGGTGGCCTTGAATGTTTTTTTTTTTTTTTTTTTTTTTTTGTGTGTGTGTGTGTGTGTGTGTGTAACAGCCCTGGCTGTCCTGGAACTCATTTTGTAGGCCAGGTTGGCCTCGAACTCATAGATCTGCCTGCCTCTGCCTCTCAGGTACTGGGATTAAAGGCATACACCACCACACCTGGCTTTGTTTCCCTTTCTTAAACTGCCTTCAAAGAGCTGGGGTGATTGGGTATGGTGCATAATCTGGGACCAGAATGTTCTTTTAGGGACCTGAGATATTCAAGGTAACGGTACCCTCCACTTTGGTTCATCCATATCTAGGCAGCAGCTATGGCCTCCAAGTGCCCTGGATGGATTCCACACCTGAGGAGAAGCAGCTGTGGCAGACACTTCTAGAGCGGCCATGTGAGTGGGTGGATGGCCTTCTGCCCCTCAGAACCAACCTGGTCCCCAGGGCATAGCCCTGTCAAACCCCTTTGTGTACCCCCACACAAAGCACAGCCGTGGCTGGAGTCAATAAAGTCTGTTTACAGAGCTACTGCCTATTCAGCAGGGGATGAGGTCCTAGAGCTAAGGCACAAGCATGAAACAGCCCAGAAGTGAAAAAGGGTCAGTCAGACATGCAGACCGCAAGGGGCTGCTCCTTGGACACGCCCCACCCCCACGTACACACTTCTGAAGTTGCCAAGACAAACACGGTAGTGGGTGCTCTGTTTAATAGTTTTTGACTGTGTGCGGCATCCCTGGGTGTCTCCCTCCTTAGTGACACCCACTTCAGTTGGGCCCGGGTCCTGCAGTTGCTGCTGGGTGCTGGGACATGTGTGTCAGAAGGTCTCTGTGTCTTCTCTGTTCGTCCATCCATGGCTGTGACCTTTAATGCCATCATTCGGCTTCCCGGGGACCAGGGGTAACTGGTGTGGCTCTTGCTCGCTGTGCCAAGATGGCTCTCCAAATTCGGCATACCATCCCCCCCCTGGGGACATCAGGGATCAATGTAATTCATTCAGAAGAAGGCCTGTGCTCTCTCTCTCTTCAGGAACCACTATGCACAGGAGACCTTGGTTCCCCTGTGGTTTGCAGGGAGCAATCAAGGTAGGCTCACAGCTGTGAGTGAGAGTGTGTGTGTGTGTGTGTGTGTGTGTGTGTGTGTGTGTGTGTGTGTGAGCGTATTGCTACCAGGTGTGCATGTTTCACCCCTAGAAGGCCCAAGATGTACCTGATTTTGGTGTAGACAAGGTCATCTTGGGTGGCACAGGTGAGCAGGGTCTGAAGGGTGAAGCTATGGCTCAGGAGCTGGGAAAGATAGTTACAAAAAGATACAGCCAGAAACTCGGGTTCCTGCTTCTTCCTACTAAAATTCTCAGGCAGGTTACTTCCCCTTTATGGCCTCAGTTTCCCCGTCTGTATAATGAGAGGAGCATACTATGAGCTCTTCCAGTATGGTATGTCTTTGCAGCAGGGAAAAACCTTTGAAGAGCTGGAAGACTAACTGACGGCCACCTTTGGTTGGTGGGGGTCAGGGACAGCCAGCTCACACTTGCTCACCGCTCACCGTTTGGATAGTGGCTGGGTCTACACTCAGTTCCTGTAGCCATTGTACCAGGCTCTGGTCCTTTGAGAGAGTGGCTGTCAAAAAGTCAGGTGATGAGTCCAAAGGTGTCCTCTGCTAGAAGTGGCCTTGCACTAACCCAGTCAGGTCTGCTCACCTGCGGGCTCTGAAGCCCGGGCATACGTCCTGGCCTCTGCATGAAACCCATGTATGGCCTGGTGCATCAGGGTCTGGCACTCCCGTTCCTTCTCAGCCAGGACATCTCGAAGCCTGTGGGAGGGCAAAGTGGGGAGAATGGAATGACCTGCTTGTGAAGCCTGTGCAGCTTGTTCGGGTGATTTCAAGAGGTTTCACCTATCGGTCTCGGCTCGCAAGAGGCCCAGCTGCACGGTCAGCGGCGGAGGCCCCTGTTCCGACGGGAGCTGGCTCTGTAGCTGCTGGCTCTCCTGCGGTTTCTGCTGGGACTCTGCTTTACTGCACTCCTCTGACTTCGGTGGGACCGCTTTCTTCTCCACCTCTGCCAATTCCAGTGGGTTGAGCTCAAGGTGGGCACGACGCCCGTTTAGGACCCCAGACGGCCCGGGAGTTGGAAGGGGGTAGTGATCAAACAATACAAAACAGGGTCCTTCCCGACTTAAGAAACCCAGCCTCCGACCATCCAATTTTATGTCCGCCACGCCCCGAGGGCCACACCCACCATAGCCACACCCCCACCGGCCAGCTGTGGGGTCCCGACCCCGCCTACCCGCATCCAGCACTGCCAGAGCCGCCCGGACTGCGCGGCTGAGCAGCGAGTCCAGCACGAACATCCAGTGTGGGCGGATCTGGCGTCTGCGGAGGATCCGCTTCACCTGGGGAGGCAGGGAGGGCGCGGCTGAGATAGTTTGAACCTCAAACAGAGGTGGGGCTAGAGTTGCAAAGCCCTAGAAAGTCTACTGCAGAAAGGTGGGAGGACTTGGGGTCAAGGGCGGGACTGGGAAAGCAGGACTGGACAGACGTGCTTCTTCCCGGAAGTCATAGAATCCTGGAACATCAAGTCTTGGCAGGGAACTCACGTCCTGTTATTGCACAGCCCTGACTGCCAGGAAGCTTTTCTCACCGCTTCTGGAAATGCGAAGAGCGGCCCATTCAAAAGTGCAGGCCCCAGGGCCTGGGCCCGCAGCTGAGCTTGCAGGGCCCGCAGCTCTTGAGCCAGCTGCCGGCGGTTAGGAGTGTGGATTTGTGCCCCGAGGCAGCGAAGCAGCTGCTCCACATGATTCCTGCTGAGCCGAGAATCCTAAGAAGAGAGGGGGCGTCCGTGGGTGTTTCCATCCGCAGTCAACCTAGATGCTCGCTGGTGGGCCGTCAGTCCCTATTCCCCAGCCTGACCACCAGGGGGCGCTGGGGCGAGCCGCCCACCTGTTCCTGCTCCAGTAGATTCTCTGCCAGTGTGGGCAGCTCCTGTTCCAGCACCGCGGCCAGCATGGCCCGGCGCTTGCTCTCCTGATGCAGCAGACTCAACCCCGAACTCTCCTCGGGGGACGCGGGTTCCTCGGCGGCGGGCTCCTCAGGCACACTGGGCAAAATGAGGAGCATCGGATGGAGGGTGGGCAACGCCACGCAGCCATCTCTGCTGCAGGGTTTGAATCCTGGCTCGCTCTGTCTCTCTTTTTATTTTTATTTTATTTTTTTACTTTTATGCCTACTTCACGGGGATAATAGAAATCAAGCCCGACTGGGGGTAGGCAGAGTGAATACAGCGTGCCTCTGGGAGAGTGCAGGAGGCAATAGATGCTGTCCTTCTAAGTGGTCAGTGAGTTTGGGTTGCGGGGAGGCCTTTTCTGGGGGAAATGAATAATGGGAAGGCAAAACCAGATGAAGGGAACCCACTCCAGGGCCCTAGGCACTCACCGGAGCTGCCTGGTGTCCCCATAACTAAGGCAGCGCTTTGGGGGGCTGGGTGGGTGCTGGGAGGGTGCCTGGGGTCTTGGGAATGTCTGAGACTGGGTGGCTGAGTCAGCTGAAGGACTGGAACCAGCGGAAGGAGTGTCTGAGGGAGGAACCAGCCATCAATCTTCTCACCACCTCAGCACCTCTGCCCTCCATCCGTGTTCACACCCTCCACCCTCATGGCACCTGGGGGCTGGGGTGTATGACGAGGAGAGCTGGGGCTTCGGCTCCTCTTCCCTGGCTGCAGGAAGGGGTCACCCAGCAGCTCTTGGGCACTGGCTCGGAGGTGGGGGTCCGGTTCAAAGGTTCGGAGGAGGAAGGCTTGGGCCTCAGCTGACAGGGAACTGGGCACTGGTGGATGCACCTTGTACATGCCCACCTGTGGAGGTGGGGCAGTAGAGTAAACCCAACATTAGACTCGTTCAAAGCCCTGTCTGGCTCCACCTTCCCTCTACAGGCAACACCTCAAGAGAGACTCACCTGAAACATAGCAGCCTGCGGGCTCCCTAGTTCATGGAAGGGCGGTCGACCAGTGGCCATCTCAATCACAGTGCAGCCCAGAGACCAGATGTCAGCTGCCTTTCCATAGCCTCGTGGGCCCTGGTCAATGATTTCTGGGGCCATATACTGCAGAGTCCCTAGAGCATGAATAGAGACAACAATGGCAACCCAGGCTTCACTGTCTCCACCATGCTCTGGCCACCCGCACCCATGGTGAACCCATCATCTCAAGTAGTGGGTATCAGATCTTGTCTGGAGTGTCATCACCCACCTAGGCTCCATCACCTGCCTTCATCCTCCATTCTTTAGGCTGTATAGCAGCCAAAGACTCCATCAGCCAAAGGACAGTTCCGGCTTTCATGTGCCATTCTCCCTCCCCCCAACTCTACAACCCCTTTACCCCCACCCCAACACACACTGCCTTACAACCATTTTAGGTGCCAAATGCATTTTCATCAGTTCTCCAGCCCCGGAGTCTTGATTTTATCATCTCTCCCTGGAACTAGTCGCCTGTCCCCAGATTCCATTCACCATTAGATCTCTGTGCCCAGAAGAAACTCCATTCCCCAGAAGTCTCCAAGAGTTAGGCACCCACCCACATATTCCCCCACCCCGCCCCGTTACCTGTGAAAGTCTCTGTGCAAGGTGTGATTCCTGCCAGCCGCTTGGAGGTGCCAAAGTCAGAAATCTTAAGCAACCCACTGAAGGTGTTGATCAATACATTGTCCCCCTGATTGAAGTGGACACTGGGATTGGCCTCTGAGACGAACTAGACTCCCCACCATCCTGAGGCCCAAATTTCCTGGGGATTACATCCTGAGTCATCCTCTATTGTGTCCTCCCCCGGCCATCCCATGTATGTGCCCTTCTCGGAGCTGGTGTCTGCTCTGGCTTCAGAGATGACTTTTCCTCCTTTAAGAGACCTCTCTGATAGCTCCCCACACTTTGCAAAAGTGTGCTTTTCACTCCACACGGCCAGCGGCCAGCTTCAGTCTGGCACACACAGTGTCTCCCCACACCCAGGAAGCCAAGTGGACCAGCCACAGGACTCACCTTGATGTCGCGGTGCACGATGCGGTTCTCATGGAGATAGCTGAGTCCCTGCAGGATCTGACGTGTGTAGAAACTAATAGTACTCTCGTTGTCCTTTAGGGGTCCCCACACTGACCTAAGCAAGGAGGATAGGCTGCCTGGGCAGAGACAACCCAAGTTAAATTGATACCCACTTACTCCGCTCAAGCACACCCATTCCCATGACCCAGACTCCCATCACCAAAGCACTCCGTCGGCTAATTATAGCCGACACACACCCACGCTGGAGTTCATTTCCCCTTAGGGTTTACCACCCCTGTCTGGCTCCATTCCCATGCCCCACACCTCAGGCTTCACTCCCCTCCCACGCAGGCCCGGTACCTCCAGGCACTTCCTCCATGAAGATCTTGAGGTAGCCACCCTGGCTGGCAGAGCCCAGATAGCGCACTATATTCTTGTGGCGTAGTCGTTTGTGAAGAGCGATCTCTTCATGCAGGGGCTGGGAAAACCTGGGAGT